TTTCAAAACCTAACACAGCGGTTTAATGGTTGTCTTCAAATGTTCCTGAATCTTGCAGCTCAATTGGACGCTTGTTTTGATAGAGTCATTTTATCTTAATCTGCCGTATCTCGTATTTGTTTCGACGATTGTTATGTCAATATCTATCACAGCATTCTAACAGCTGAACGGCAAGACATTAATGGAATGGCTCGAATAAATACCTGGAATATGTAAAACAACTGGCGGTTGCGGGACGATACCCGAATATTGTGTGGTCTCAGATATTGTCTGCAGAACATTTGGAGATTGGGAGTAACGAGCAGGAACGATGAGAGAATCGAGGAATATTCGTTTCTTGGAGATCGCTGATGGATTTGCGTAAAAATGACAACGATCCGACAGAACCAGTGGATTGTTCTTACCTATTTTTGTTGATAAATACAACCGGAAATTGCGATTCCTGGAAGTGAAAACGAAATTTTGAAAACTGAAATATAATGAAAATTATGTTGAAACACCATTGTAGAAATCAAAAAAGAGTCGATATTGAGGTGATCTGAATACTTCACTTCAATCAATTAAACTCATCGTTCAGTGAATTGCCCTATATTTATCATATCATCAGTTAGTAATATCGAACGGACGACTCGCTTCTCACTTCATCTGACCATTTAAAAAAGTACAGAGTGCCTATAATCTGGATGCTTCAGTCAGCTTTGAATCTAGCGTAAAGGAAAGATCAAGGAAGCATGAGACAAAGCGAAGTGTTTGTTTCAAGAAAAAACTCAGCTTAAAAATACGTGGCTGTGATAAAACTCACTTAAGATGGAACGTAATTCATAAAGGCAACTTACGTTGTATAAACACCAGCATCGAAANCATCTGACCATTTAAAAAAGTACAGAGTGCCTATAATCTGGATGCTTCAGTCAGCTTTGAATCTAGCGTAGAAGAAAGATCAAGGAAGCATCAGACAAAGCAAAGTGTTTGTTTCAAGAAAAAACTCAGCTTAAAAATACGTGACTGTGATAAAATTCATTTAAGATGGAACGTAATTCATAAAGGCAACTTACGTTGTATAAACACCAGCATCGAAAAGCGTAGTTGTTTTAGAGGCATCTTTATTCCAAACAATACCACGATTTGTGGAAAGCATCTTCTTTTCGAGAACATCGATGAATGATTTCTTCATCGAGACGTTTGATGGGAATAAACATTCACCTGGCAGATGCAAAATTAAATGCTCACTGAATTTGGTTTGCGTGGAAGCATCCAATACGACGGTCATCTGAAAGTTATTTTTAACATAGAAACAACTTCAAACAAATCCTCGAACACGTATACACACAAAACAATCAGATAATGCAGTAATAAAATTGAATGCTTGAAATAATCCACTGAAACTGGCAAGGCAAACACTCCAGTCAATAAGCAATATCAATGAAGAATTCGTATAATAACACCTTCACCTTATCAGGATCAAATTCGATCTGAAACACTTCGTTCAGAGTTTCTTTAACGCAGTCACTGAAATCGTTGACTAACTGCGTTTGATCAACGTTTTGATTTGTTCCTCTGTAAAACTCTAAATCGAAATATAATCTCGCTGGACAACCGTCTGGTATTAACTCATAGAATGAAACGTTTTCGCATTGTTCATACCATCGCCAAAATCGTTCTATCGTTGTCAGCAAAAAACGGCGTCGACCTTTAAATACGACTACGATTAGTTTCATGCGTTCTGGCACTTCAAACTTGATTCAAATTACAATCAATAAGGGACCTTCTTTAGAGCCAGAATATTCGTACGAAAATATGCGTGACTGTTCGCCTTCTTCCTCGCGCTTCAAAAGCGCGTCACGTTGACGATAGTATATATTGAAGCAACCGAGTGATTCTTCGAACAGACTCATTTTCACTTTACGCATCATATTCTAAACCAATGTCAATCATTCACTCAAAAATATGTCGAATTAATCGACAGTTCCAACGGAACATATATTGCGAAGTTCAAATCATTGTGATTTTTCGTTATGATTCTTAAAACACAAACTTTGTGCAAAAATAATGAATCGTCATGAAAAAAGATTTTAGCAATGCTTAAACCGTGTACGATTGCAGCAGTACACGTGGCAGAATTTCAGCATCTGTTGACCAAATATTAGCCTAAGTGTTCGAAAACGAACTTGAGCAGATGACACTAAAGCACACCGGTGTGCACTGCTACATCCATACGACAATTACCAGTTGTCTGAAAGTGAAAAGAAACTGGAATTGAATGTGTTAATATTTAACCTCATTCGAATGACAAATACTTTCAACTGATTGTTTCGCTCTGCTTGCGCCACCATAAAACCAATCCAGATTTTCCTCGTTTGAATTGCCGTCCTCGTTCATCTTCGTGGCCTTTGTTATAGCTGGAAAACTAAAGAAATAAATAGAACAAGCTTCAAATGTAACACGATCACATTTGAATTGGGGCTCTCAACTGGTTAATCGAATGCTATCCAAAATTCCTCCTATAAAACAATTCCTCCGACAATTACTGAAAGTCGGTCGTATAATCAGATTCGCGCAGTCCAGCTTTTGAGAAGCGTTCGAAGTAATTCACAATAATCGTTACTATTTTCATGCGCTTCAGAACGAGGCTCACCATCCGGCTGAGCTTCATGCTTTAACCGGACTCATTCCGACGTTTATTTCGTATTACGAACTACTCCGAAAAGCTTTCAAAATCGCCGACCTACAAGTCGGGTTTGTACGGCCGACTTCAATCGGTGGATTAAGATCTTTCAAATTGAATTATTAACGCGCCAGTAAAATAAACTGCCCGCAGACATTTCGCCAAGAGGAGATATATCGTTATGTGTTCCTTCACTGTGTGTACAATGTACATCTGAAGTGCGCCTACTTGTCAAGAACGAATATAATACAATGGACTGCAAACAGGCTGGGGGTTGGATATAGTAACTCCGATTTGGTTGATGATATGAGGGTGGAGAAGGATCAACGTCGAGAAATTCACGCGTCCATTCCCAATAAAATCTCCTTATCTCATATTTCAGCAGTCTCACAAATTTATTCAATACTCATTTATTCACCTGAACCACAGCTGTTATCTGGTAAATAATATTAACCTTTTTCGAAGTATCTATAACCTGAACTGTGAACAGCTTCCTTCATTATCGTCCTTTTTTTTCAGACAAATTCACAGCATAAATTCCCGTAATTTCCAACTGGAACATTTATTCAAGAGATGCTGTTGAACACATGGAAATACAGCCGAATACGGTTATTGAAATGAACAAGAAAAATGATTCCTCAAAAAATTGCTCAATAATGCGCACAGCTCGCGATTATTTACATACAGACAATTGAACAAAAAACCAACGAGTTACAATAACAAATACAAGACATAAAGGTCAAAGGAATTTGTTCGTCCATTTATACATTCCGCTTCATTCGTCAATATTACATGGCTCAATTTCACGTCTACATGGATAATAGACGTGGAATTCAAGTTTTGATCGAGCAAAGGAGCCAGGATTTGCGAATAAGCATTGATGTTTCGAGATGGCGAATTGTTGAAATTGATCGGCAATAACGACAAGATCCGGTAAAGGATAAAGTCTCAGGCAGTAATCCATTTGCCAAAAGACCGGTGAGATGTGCAGCGGTAATGGTGTCAAATGACCGGCAGATGCGATCGTTCGGCAAAACTGAAACTTGTTCAATAACTCAACCTTTAACTAATTCATTTTTCCGACACTTTATCGCATTTCCATGATAAATAACCCACAACGTTTTCATTACCTATTTTTTTAACCACCAATCTGTTCCAAAGCGAAATGCAGACTTTCCTTTAGAGTTGCTGTTTTTTCAAATACGAAGAACGACCAAATAATGCTACTGAACTATTGAATCAGTATCTATCAAAGTTTGTTCAAATCAGTTCGGGAAGTCACAATAAGCGCAAATCCGACGAAAAGATTATCTGTAGAACCAACTTGAGGATGAGTGAGAAATTGAGGGGGGGGGGGGGGGGGGGGGGGGNGGGTGAGTAGGACCCATCAGGGTAATGGTCTAGACTGTCAAACCTTTTTTTGGGGAGGGAAAAGGGAGAAGGAACGGATTTTAAAAAAGAAAAGAATTCTTCACAGAAATCAACTAATTGAACAATTCAGGTCAACTCAAAATCGTTTAGTGACAAATCAGTACAAGCAAACGAACGTGTTCAGCAATATCAGTAGTTGCAGATGGCATATGTATACTATTCCTGCACATCTTCTCGATTAAATCGTCTCTGAGAATAACGATCTCCTGGTCGGCATATTGTATTCGGCATGGATTTGACGCGAATGAACAATTTGGTATTTTATCCATCACTTCAAACAGTGAGTGTGGCAGAGGCGGTCTGTAATTCTGTTTTCTGTTACGTTACTATACTTTTTTCCAAGAACGTTAAACAACGATCAAATGACTTACCGGGGCAAGAACGTGCCAAGATAAGGGTCATCAGGCCCAGGAATAAACACAAAATGACAACCAGCTAACTGCTCAATTCTTTTGCTGATTATGTTTGATAAATGTCGAAATCCATCTGAAACAATCTGTCGGTTATTCGATTCTAGTCAAGAGCAATTGATTCTAGTCTGGAATAAATGCTGAAGCCTCTTGAACTCACTATCAGGCGATAATTCAGACATAACCTATAAGTGAAACGGACATAATAGGCGTTTAGCTTACTCC